TGACATGGACCATTGAGGCAGCTGAAGTTGCTTTATCTTTGAAGCATAGTTTCTATTTTGAAGAGGTCTGAGAGGTTGTAGGAATAAGAGACTATGTCCAGTTCTCTATTTTGTTCCTCGCATCGACCAGAAGTTCCCAACAATTCTGTATTTTCCTTGACTTGTTATCTCAAGGGGTCACCAATCTATTCTACTCGTTCTCTCTTCTAAGCTATTTATTTTCCTTCCAATTCTTTTGTCTAGAGTCTTTATTTCCTTCATCTCTTGCTTCATTTCTTCTAAATATTCATTAGTTCTTGAGGAAAATATTTTTTAAGACTTTGCTAGCAGTTGTTATAAAATTACTCTCTCCTTTTGTAGTATCTCTAGATTTGCAATAATTTTTGTATTAGTGTTTTCTTTAACCTACTCATCTTGCTAGCATTAATTCCCGAATTAGGGCCTTTTACTAAGTCCAGGCTTTGCTCCCTGCTACGCTTTTGAATGCAGTGGTTGGTCCATTGGTCGCTTGAGGATTCAGAGCTCTGATTTTCCAGGCCTTCTCTGACATCTCAGGACAGAGTGTTAGGAACTTCAGAGCCCTTGTGCCTAAACCATCATGGTCTGAAGACTTCAATACTGTTGCTATTTACTGTACTTCCAGAGTAACTTTACTTTAGGGCTTTCTCAGAGGAGACCTTTGCTTTTATTGCCTCAGAATACAGAGCTGTCTCTGTTCAAACTAGAAGAATACCCTGCATTAGCACTGACTTTTCTTATCCTCAGGGTCTTAGAAGATGTTACATAGGTCTGGAAGAGAAGGAATCACTTAATGAGTATTAGAATTTTTTTTTTTAATTTGGCCTGGTGCAAACTTCAGGGTTTTGCTAGAGTAGGTATATGGGAACTGGTTGGACTGACTCCCATTTTGGCAACCAACTTAGTCAGAAATGTTATTTTTTTGAGATTTCAAGATCACCAGAAAAAGGCTTTCTGTGCTTTGGGTGGAACCTCTAGAGAAGAATTACAGAAAGATACAGATAAGAATTGAATAGTATAAGAAGCCAGTTTGGAGCTATAACGGAGGAGGAAGTAGCCAGATGGATTTGATCATGTATCCTTTAAAACACCTACATATAATTCAATAACCAAATATTTGAGTACCTATAAATAAGCAGAAAAAACAATTATTGTCCTTACTTGGAGAAATGAGATAGTTATATAGGAAAAAAAAATTACATGTTCTATTAACAAAATGAGTGCAGCAAACATTCAGAAGACGGAGAGTTCACTGAAGAACTCTAGTGGCTGGAGAAGACTTCATACAAGAAGAGTCTGAGAACAGACACAATCAGTACTTCCTTGCCTTATACTGTTTCATGTCCTTTCCTTCTGGATTTATAGACTGATTGAGATAAAGGAATTTTAAGAGATGTAGTCTAACCCTCTCACTTTGAAAATGAAGAAACTGAGACTCAGCACCCAGAAGAAAAGTCCAGCATTTATCAAGGATTCAGTCACAGGGCTGACACTAACAGCAAGAGATCACCTGGAGGGTTCAGAAGCTTGGATACAATGCTCAGAATCCCCTGCATCAGGTCACTCAGAACAGACTGTGGAGGAAGTCCCTTTTCCAAGACAGCAGCATGTTGATCTGCCAAGAAAGGAGACAACCCCACCTACATCCCCTGCCAGCTAAACCAGCAATGTCAGACTGCCCAGAGCAGATCCCTAGAAGATAAATAAAAATTTAAAAACAAACAAAAAACCCGATAAAGAGGTTAGGGATATTCAAGACACAAACCTAGAAAAAAAGAATAATTCTAAAACATCTACAAGCAAAGCTTCAAATAAAAGCACAGTTTGCTCACAAGATCAATTAGAACTCCTTGAAGAAATGATGCAAGAGTTTAAAAATGTTTTAAAATAGTATAAATTAAATGAGAATAACAGAGGAAAAAAGTGGAAAAGAAATGTGAAGTAAAGAGGAGAAAGTTGGCAAGAGAATTAATAGTTTGGAACAAGAATTATAAAATCTTATCCAAGTTAACAGACTCACTGAAAATTAGAATTAGCCAAATGGAGTTCAATGACTCCATGAGAAAACAAGAAATATTAAAATGAGGTTGAAAGAACAGAAGGAAACGTAAGGTACCACATATAAAAATTAAGAACCTGGAAAACAGATTAAGGAAAGATAATTTAATAACTGCACTACATACATGAAAGCCACGACCAAAAAAAAAGAGCCTTAATTTCAAGAAATCATGAAAGACAACTGCCTATATTTCTCAGAACCAGAAGGCAAAATGAAAATAGAAAGAATTCAGTAGTCATCTCCTCAAAGAGTTCCCCAAATGAAAACTTCTAGGAATATCATAGCTAAAATCAAGAGCTTACAGGTCAAAGAAAAATTACTGCAAGTTGCCAGCAAGAAAGAGTTTAAGTAATGAGAAAGCACAGTCAAGATCACATAAGATTCAGAAGTTACTACCATAAAAAAAGCAAAGAGCATGGCAAACCATATTCCAAAAGGCAAAAGATATAGGCTTACAACCAATAATATCTTACCCAGCTCAAGAGTGAATGTAATCATACAAGGGGAAAAAATGGATTTTTAATGAAACAGAAGACTTTCAAGCATTACTGATAAAAAGAACAGAGCTGGATTTAAAGTTTAAAAAAAAATCATGAGAATAAAGAGAAACATAGGAAAGTAAATAGATTTTTGAAAGCTATGTTTGAATTGGAGGCAAAGAGGGTACTGATATAAGTACTACTACATAAGAACTAAAGAACTATTTCAACAGGGGTCATAGAAATCAAACAAGATGAAATACTTTGGAGTGTTTTGCTACATTTTGATTCTAGTTGACCAATGATTTAGAACAATACCTACTAAGCGAAAGACAGAGGTGACAGACTAGATATGCAAAACGTCAATGTGGGAATGTGTTTTGCTTAATGGTATGTTATAGGGGTTTTATTTGTATTTGTGCGTGTGTGTATTTGTTTCTGGGGGAGCAGGGAATGATAAAAAGAGAGCAGATGATTGTTAATGAAAAAATACATTTAAATTAATTTTAAAATTTAAATTAATAAAATTAATTTTTTAAAAAAAGAATGTTTCTGAAACAAAAAAAAAAGGCACACTTTAGAATGGAACATAGGCATTATCTAAGTTCATGATAACTGATGAGGACAAAAATTCAAATCTCTTTTATGACTTACAGTAGAAGGGGGCCAAACTAATAAACTACTCAATATTTTACAGTCTTATTTAAATGATCACAAATAATCTGTGCAAATGTTTAACTACAAACCATTTAAGCAAATTTATCTTTTGACTCAGTCAAGAGCTAGACTGAATCAAGCATTAGACAATAAAAGAATATTATCATGAAGGCAGTCTGCATAACAGTAGGGTACTCTGCCCTACTATAATGGACTCTGAAATGAGGTAAGCTCCTGCTGGTGCACAGCACACAGTCCTGGAGAAATGAGTATCTTTTTACAGCCCAAAAGGTCAAGCTGGAAAAAAGAAGCCAAGAGAATAAACTTACTGCACATTATTTATGGGAAGATAAGAGAGGCAAAAGAAAGGCAGGGGCATTCAGGTTTTCATGTGCTTAGTTCCTGAGTCACCTATGAAGGCAACTCTTTGATCATTGCAATCTCCATATCTATGACAAGAATTACCTGCTGTTCAGGGTCCATAGAAAACAATACTATTCTTCTTCTCTGTGAGGAGGAAATAAAATACATTTTCATGCCTAATTTTTATGATATAGGGCTAAGCTAAGCTAGGCCAAACTCTTGCTCATCTTCTAGATTGTCACCTTTGCCTTTTCACTTCAATCTCTACCTCTGTAATGGCTCTCAAATTCTACTTCCCTTCTCAATAATGGTCAATTTCATTTGCGACATTCCATATTTTATCCCCTTCTTACATCATTGCATCCACACAGATTTACTGAACACTATGAGAATACCTAACAGAGTCACTGAATCTAAGATTTGGAAGAGAACATCCAGGTTACAGGTAATACCCATCCCTACAATTGAAGCATTAATTGTCTCTACAACCTCCCCAAGATGTAAGATTACCCAGCCTCTGCTCAAAGACCAAAAGGGAAAGGGAACTCTAACTCCCAAGCTCATCCATTCCATTTCACATTTCAGGACAGCTCTGTCATAAAATTTTCCACTATATCAAGGCATAATATGCCTCTCTGTAACCTCCCTGCAATCTCTTAGTTCTGGCCTACTGGACCAAGTGGAACAAATACTACCCCTCTTTCATATGACAACCCTCGACACATTCAAAGGTAACAAAAGCATGCTCTACCTCTTTCCTCATCTCCTTAATCCAAAATGAACATCCCTGGTTTCTTTCACTGATTCTCATAGAATCTTATTTTCTATCCACTCTTTTCGTGGATGCACTCTACATTGTCACCAACGTGTGGTGCACTACAATTGATCACAATACTCCAGATATAGTGTGACTGCAGTAAAGCACAGTGGGATTATTTCTTCTTTTTGTTTAGATACTCAACTTAGCATTACCAGATCACAGATCTAGCACTGGAAGGTCCTTCAGAGGTTATTGAATCCAATCTTTTCATTTTACAGATGAGGAAACTGAGGTCCAGGGAGAAGGGCAAGTGACTTCCCAAGGTCAAACACCCACAATCACATTAGGTTTTTCTCTAGCTGCTGTGCCCTAATGTTTACTACTAGAGAGCCTGAAGTTAAATGATCACAAATAATCTGGGCAAACTACCAACTAGGACACTCAGGTTCCTTTTCAAATGAACTGCTGTCAAGTCTGATGTTTTGCAAAGGCGAGCAAAACAAGAAATGCTCATTCTCTCTCTGTCTGCTCACTAGCCAACCCAGCAGTAAAGGGTGATGATTCCTGGAAGAAGAAAGAAAAAGCGGGTGGGACTTGGGCAAAAAGAAAGAGAATGCAAAGTAAAAACCATTTCTGTCTGGAGCTCACAAAAGGACAGGGTTACCCTCAGCTGCAATCTGCTGCTCTTCAGCCTGCCCATCCTGGCGCATCTCATTCTCCTCATTCTGGTCATTGGCCTGCTGGGGATTATTGTTGGGTGCGTTCGGGTTGTTGTTTGGATGATTGTCATTTTCATTGTTGGAATTCTGGTTGCTCACCAGGGCTGACGAAACACCAATCCCCGTACCTGCACTCAGACCAACACGAGCACAACCCTAAAGAAATACATAGCCAGATATCAACGACAAGGGGATGATCAATCCAAATGCCGGGTAAAGTCAAAATTCAAAACATTTTTACCTCCTGATTTCTGCCTAAGACTGAGCTACTCCAAATGTTGCATCTTCCCAAGAAAAGGGGTTTAATGATTTAGAGATGAAAGAAACTGATTCAGGAGCTGCAGGTCTCTTTATGTTGAACTCATATACAAATCTGTCTGGAATCCTTTCGCATATTTTGTATGATTGGATATCCTGATTTTCTAGGACAAAGGATGTGGCAGTATGGTACAGTGGGAAAAATACTGGACTCTGAGCAGAAGATATGTATTCAAGTCCTGGGTCCAAAAATGCTTTAACTATGTGAGCATGGGCAAGGCAATTAGCCTGAGTACTGGTTTGATCATATGCAAAAGGAAGGTAATATTTGTATAAACTAGCTCATGAAGAAAGCACTTTGTAAACTCTAAAAGCACGACAGAAATGTACACTATCACTATTATTATGGTTATTATGGCAACAAAGAAAAAAATTCCCACAGCATATTCTTAGGCCCTATTTCTTATTCCAGAATACTGATATCAAATCCAATTATACATCCATTTCTTATGGCAATCCTTGTCTTATTACAAATCTTTGCTCTTCGTCCAGCAAGTCATACTCCAAAGCAGGATCATTCAGGCTACACAGAATCATAGAATTCCAAAGCTGGAAAGACCTTCAAAATCATCTAGGCTAGGGGTTTGTAACGTTTTTTCTGTCTCAGACTCCTTTCTGGCAATCTGGTGAAGCCTATGCACTGCTTCTCAGAACAATTTTTTTAAAAATTCATACTTGAAGGAAATGCTAAAATTCAATCGGGAGTTAGTGAAAATGATATGTATTCTACCCCCACTCCTCACCCCCAATCCAAGTTCAAGGACCTCTTGAAATCCTAAACCCAGGTTAAGAACCCTGGCTCTAGGCCAACCTAGTCATTCTATAGATAAGGAAACTCAGGCCCAGAAAACAGAAATGACTTTCCCAATGGCACAAAAGTTAGAAGATGCAGAGCTACAATATGAACATAGGTCATTTAGCTCCAAATATAATGTTCTTGAAACTACATTATACTGTAGCTTGGTTCGACCACAGTACTCATGGGAGTGGTAGTAGCTCAGAGCCCATCACCACCTGATGTCTGCATACCTAAACTGCAGGTTCAGTCTTCTCTGGGGGTAAACAAAACCTTTAAAGGTTGAATTTCCTAAGTTACAAAATTTTAGAGCTAAAAGGAATGCTGGCGTTTATATAACAAATACTTTGTTTATAGAGGAAGAGACCAAGGACTACTGGGGGAAACTTCCCCATAAGTTAGCAAGTTCCAGTACAACTGGCTATCTTAGCCCCCAACTCTTGAGTCTCTGAGAATAGGGTTTTCAGGATGGGTGAGTAGGCATGGCAGACAGGCAAATCACAGTCTGGGCTTTGACCTTAACTTGAATGGGAAGTACCCTTTATGGTAAGTTTTCGTCCATCAAAATTAATGGAAGAGTCCAGCGAGTCTTAACTTGTTCCTAACTTTTCTCTTTTTCTCTTATCTTTGTAAATTACTGCGAGCTGTGTATACAACATATCTGCTTAGAATTGAGAAATAATTTAGATCAACCCCCTTATTTTATAGATGAGGAAACTATAAGAACAAGAAAGGAAAAGTGGCTTACACAGCATGCTACTGGCAGAACCAGCAGTAAGACTCAGGTTTACTGATTTCCAGTTTACAGCTTTTTCCACTACCTTATACTGCTTAAACTATTATCTGTATAACTTTCACAGAGTTTTCAGTTCATTCAAAAATTGTTCCTCGATTATGACTTTCAAAAAGTGGACATATTTTTAGAATGCTTGTTGCAGATCATCTTGTTTTGTTTCTTTCCTGAGCTTCAAAATAAGCCAAACAAATACTCCCCGTGTCATCTACCTTGGGCGGTTCTCGAAACATCTGGTCCAGAGAGATAAACTCCAGGCTTGGCAACAACTCAATGAACTGACTAAACGATTCCAGTTTAACTGCATGACATCTCACCAAAGTGAGGTCAACTAGTCGCGTCCATCTTGAATGGTCTGCAGAAGGAAAAGTGAATAATTTCAGGTCTTAAAACTTCTTTAGTCTTGCTTCCTGTTTTAGGCCGCCAAACTGCTGCAGCCAAGTCACAAAAGGTCATCAATGAGACAACTTTTAGAACTGGTAAGAACCACCAGAGAGGTCATCCATTCCAATCTTTTCATTTAGCAGGTGAAGAAACTGTGGGCAAGAGATGTTAAGGGATTTGCCTAAAGTCAGATGGTTATAATCCACAAATTATATAACTGTATTTGGCAGAATACAATTATAATTGGCAGAGCTAGGATTCATACTCAGGCCTTCTAACTCTAAATTTGGTGCTCTTTCCTCTACAAGAGGATCCTTCATTCTTACTGTTTCCCTTTCCTTTGCCCTCCCCTCCTCTCCCCCCAAGCCTATCTATAAGAAAGAGGTCAAAACTAAGGTTTCTAACTCTAAATGCAACATTCTACTACACTACAATGCCTCCACAGCTCTTACCTATGACGCTTCTTGAAACCACCACAGCAAAAAGATCGGTGAGAGCTAGTCTTCTTAAAAACACTTTTCTAGCAACATCAATTTAAACATGCTCCATTGCTACAGCAACCAAATATCAATGTGACCCACAAGTCTCTTTATGATTCCCTAGGGATACGGGGCTGTTAGAATCCAATTTCTGGTATATTAATGTCTGGGTGATAAACATTATTCTAACAGGTTTGTCTTTCAGAATTTTAGTCACAGTGCCCCAAACCCAAAGAGACCTGGTGCCCCGAGAGAGGGGGAACACACTTGTTGTTTAGGGACCTGTTCTGAATATAAAGAGAATTGCAGAGTTAAGAAAAAAGTCCTCCAAACTTGCATACACTTAAAATAAACATGACTGTGGTAAACAAATTAACCTAAAACAGTAATAGTATACGATTATGTTTGGAACTCAAAGGGACCTTAGGTATCATTTGATCCAATCTCCTTTCTCCCCTGATAAATAAAAATGGAGGCGTGGTATAGTAGAAAAAGCACTGAATTTGAAGTCAGAAGACATGAACTGGAATACTGGGTAACTTTGGGCACATCACTTAACCTCACTGGCATTCGGTTTCCTCATCTGTAAAACAGAGGGTTAAGTAAAGATCACGTCAGGTCTCTTCCTGCTCTAAATCCTATTAAGTACTTTGCCCTAGGTAACACAGGTAGTAAGTAGCAGAGCTGATATTTAGCTACAGATGGCACAGGTTTAAGATTCGTAGACTTTAAAGAATTGTACACCTGTCAGCTGTCATTACCTTCCTCATGAGATTATTGTAAGCAAAGTGCTTTATCAAATTCAGCTGATGGAAATGTGAGGCGTTATATTTGCACTACTTCAGAGAACTAGTGTGAAAAAAGCATGACAGAAATGAAAACGGCTGTTAGTCCCTGATATGGGGTATTAAGGAACCTGTAGCTCCAGGATAAAGCAAGATGAATATGGACCATGTTGTTAAACTGGTAAGGAATGGCTTCTAGAAGCTCTAGATACACGGTGGCATCATTTATTTTGACTACACAGTAATAGCTATATCTTTAAGTTTATAGTACCTGTGATCCAATTATTTGGGTTATGCAGATGAGGACAATTGTAAATGAGCAAATATTTGATACAGGAGAAAACCTCATTGACAGCCTTCATCCCGATATCTGTGATAATGCCAGGATTTTCCACAACATCAGCTAAACCATACTTCACCAAATCAGCATTGGTCATTTTGCCTGGAATGAGAAATCAGTGTCAGAAAGCCAAACTCCTAGAAGACAAATAAGGCTGCTTACTTCCTACCTTTAACCTACCCTACATGAAGAACAAGGTTTCTTTTATAACATAAAAAACTAATTTTAATAGCTCGATACTTCAAGGATCCCTAATTTCAACTGTGTGGCTAAACTCTGTACCAATATTTCATCTACATTAGAAAGCCTTCCAATACCTCTTTATGCCAATTTTTCAGTTGCTATGGATAAATATATTTATCGCTTAGTAGTCAATGCTAAGTGACAAGTCTCTCCACACTTAGCTAAGCTAATTCTCATACATGAGGCACACCTTCACACCATAATGAGGAATGGAACAAAGATTCTTAATACTGAGAAATACAAATAAGAAGAATTTCACTTTCAATCGTGAAAGGAATAAAATTGAAGACAGAAAATGAATGTGACATCTAACAGCCCCCAAAGAATAGATAAAAAATATACCGTATTGGCCAAAATATAAGGTGAGGTTTTCAGTTCTGGATTAAAAAAGAGTAAAATAAAATTCTAATAATATAACTAAGCTCACATTCAAGAACTATACCCGTGGGAATCTAACATTTGGATTATAAAAACAGGGGGCTCAAAATATTTCTTAAAGTTTCCACCAGGGAGCTCCAACTATTCCCTCTGTAACAAAACAGGTGTCCAAAACAGCCCCCGAACAGAAGGCTGTTGCCTCAGCTGATTTAGGCAGCTTTCTACCACCAGGGCCCAGCAGAGGGAAAAAAGAACATTTTTCCCAGTGGAAGCCTGGGTCACTGCAGGCTTCTGAGAGGGTCCCCCATCTGTTCATTAGTAGAGAATTACAACACAGTAGTGTGCAACCAGTTGAAGTTAACTATATAATCTAAATAAGAGAGTGTGAAAACTGGAAGGAACTTTCTTTAGAGATCATGTAATTTAATTCCTTTATTTGATGAGGAAACTAAGACTTAGACTGGCTAACTGATTCACCCTTTGCTTTCATGGAGAAATTATATTTTTTCAGCTCCTTCAATCCTCACTCGTCCCTGTCACCTGCAAGCATCTCTCTCATTCTGGATACAACCTGCTTTCTTCTCTCCACAGTTAACTTCAATCCTCCTGTACCCAAGTGTCTCCCTGAACTACAATGCTCAATGTTTTCCGTGGGTACTTATAGTTCAGATCTTGTAGCATATGATTCTTTTCTAGGAGGAGAGTGTGATATAGCAGAGAGAGTAATGGATGTGAAGGCAGAAGACCAGGATTTGGTTCCTGATTATCCTACTTTACCTATGGGACCTTAGGCCAGCAGTATCATTTTTCTGGGATTCAGTGTCCTCATGTGCAAAATGAGGGGATTGAATAAAATGAATGTTATGTTCCTTTTCAACTCTAATGATGTAAGAAGCCACGTGATATAGAAGGAAGGACACTGAGCGCAATCAGAGCACCTGGTTAGAATCCTAGCTCTGCTACTCCCTCTCAGTGTGACCTTGTACAAGTCACTCTACTTCCCAAACCTCAGTTCCCTTATCTGTAAAGTAAGGAAATTTGACTAAATCTAGAAATTATGATCTTTTCCCTTATTCAACCTATGGTCCCTCAAAAATTCCAAGAATCACTTCACTTCAGGGAAGGATAAAGCCTATCTCTCCTCTCTGGGTCTTCTCTTTTTCAATTCAATTAAAAAAGCATTTATTATGCACTAATTATGTGTATAATACGAAAACAAAAAATGAAATCAGTCCCTGACCTTAAGGATACAACAGGTATACAGGCAAGTAAATACAAGATAATTTCAGGAGGGAGAAAACACTGATAACTAGGGGAATCAGGAAGTGCTTAGGTAGATTAGGTAGAAAGTGGTACCTGAACATGGTCTTGATGAAATCAAAAGATTCTAAAGGACGAGATTAGGAGATACATTCAAGGTACATGCCTAGGTCAAAGGCATGGAGGTGAGAGAGATGACATTCTTGGGCATTAACTCATTTGCACCCCTCACAATATATAAAACACCACAATCAGCCTCCAAAGGCTACCCTCAATCTATAACTTTTTCCCCATTAAAGCGGGGGGGGGGAGAGGTGGGGAAGAGTTTAATTTGTTACCTTCTTTCCTAGGCCTTTTTTACAAGTCTTTTCCTGAAAGGGAGGGTTAAAGTGGAGTATTTAGAAGAGGAGGCTAGATGGAGAATTTTTAGGGGGTTGGGAGAGCAGCAAAATGATCTAACAGAAATAACACTGAACTCGGCATCAAAAGACATAGATTCAAATCCTAGCTTTGACCCTAATTAGTTGTGTAAAATTGGGTGAAGTGTTTTCAATTCATCTCTCCAGGCCTCAATTTCCTCATCTAAAAAAAATTATTAATAATTTTTATAAGGCTATTATGAGAAAGGCATTTGGTAAAGCTTAGAACCCCAAAGAGTTGTTAGTATCATAAAATTTAGGGCCAGAAGGGATCTTAAAAGATCATCTGACATAAGTTTCCCCTTTAGTAGAGAATTAAACCAAGGTTCCAGGTGATGGGCTTGTTCTTGAGTCCAATAAGCTACAGAATTGCAAGTCCAAATATAGTGCTCTTTCACTATATCACGCATATTCTAGAGGAGTGGCCTCACATGCCCTTTTCAGGCCATATGTTCTTTTTTTCCTTTTTTTTTGATGAGGCAATCAGGGTTAAGTGACCTGCCCAGGGTCACACAGCTAATAAGTATCAAGTGTCTGAGGACGGATTTGAACTCAGGTCCTCCTGGCTCCAAGGCCAGAGCTCTATCCACCGAGTCACCTAACTGCCCCTAGGCCATATCGTTTCAAGGGCTGCTCTAAAACCTGTCTCAGGAGGGAGACCCTTGGGATGACTTCAGGAAAGGAGAAGGGGAGAAGGGTGGAGAATTGAGAGATGAGAGTTCAAAGTCTGGAAGTCCAGCTTCCAAAACTGGGCAAATCTGTCTGCAGTGATTATGCAGAAAAGAATGAAATTATAACAAAGTCAAAATATCAAAGAAATCACAATGCCAATTTTAAGACCAAGAGTGCCAAAGAAGCAAATACTTATTTAGCTGCTTTTAAAAATGTTTTTGGGTTATAAAAAGACACAAAGCTCCTAAGGAGGTCATTACAGATGTACAGCATCCCAATTCAGAACCAGTCCAGGATGGTGTAAAAGGATGATGGGTTAAAGTGGATTTGCTCTGTAGAAGACTAGCTTTGAGCAACAATTTCCAGACTATTTAGAAAGAGATCAGTTTTTCCACCTAATGCTATATTCTCATTTTATATAAAAGACATAATTATACTTTGAATGCGGACCAGATGTTAACACTTTTTGCTAACACCATTTAATAACTGTGCATACACAAAAGGTAAGAAATAATTGTAAAATCAATTGGAAATTAGGAAGGATACACAACACTTAAGTTAACTTTCAACCAAGGGAACTAAACTCCCTCTTTTGTACTACTAGCATAAATCTTACCATATTACTTCATCTGCTCAGAACCCTAAAATCTCTCCTAACTTCCTAACAGGTGAAGTTCAACCTCCTTAGCTTTGTATGCAAAGACCTTGATAATGTTGAGTGAGACAATGTAAACAGTGTGAGATCTCTCAGATGGACTGAGTGTAACAGTTTTGTAGACTATTACAAACTCAAGGTTGGTTCCGCTAGCCTGAATAGGCCCAAGTTTCAAGTTCCTAGAAAACACATGATCTGTACTGTTACATTAGTATTAGGTAATGGCTAATGCTAAATAAGGATAAAATAGCTAGGACTGGTAGTATTATAATGATTTAATATATAATATAATAATTGTTTCTGGGGTAGATTTTCGCGTTTTAGATTGTAAGGCTGAAATTCCTGTCCAATGGGAATTTACAGCCAGTGATGGGTGGGTGTCTCTGCATTAGGACTATATAACCTTTGTTCTGACCCTTGTGCTTTGCCTCGCTTCACTCGGACTGCCGGACGAAGTAGACGTCTGCTTCTTGCGAGAACGTAATAAATCTTTCACTTTATACCTAGAAAATCTCCAACTGTTATTTCTGGGTAACTGTAGCACACAGTATGGTATTACTGCTCTTTCTAGCCTTACTGCAGCCACGGTTAACATAATACACAAATAGCCATCCTTATTGCACATTCTATGCTTTTCCTGATTCTGCTCCTTCTTTTCCCTATGCCTGAGATGTCCTCCATTCTATCTGTTGAATTTTCACCATCCTTTAAAATGCTGCCTCCCCTCTTTTAATCAATAGTGATCTTTTTACTCCTCAGAACTTCAACAGAATTTTGTTTGCACCTCTTTTCTACACTCATTATGCAATATGGAATATATAAGTTGTTTCTGTGTGATATCCCCTTAGTTATACTGAGAATACAATGAGGGCAAAGAAGGTACCTGATCTCAATTTTGTTATCCCCAGTACCCAAATGGTACTTTGCATATTGTAGGCTTTTAATCAATCAGTGGAATTACAGAATTTGGGAGTTGGAAGGTACTTCAAAAGCCACCTTTATTCAACCTATAAAAAAAATTGAGTAATCCATTCTACAACAGCCTCCATTTACGACTCCTCTAGTAGTAAGGAACCCACTGATTTTGCCTCCCAAAGCAGCCTATTTCAATTTTTGCCAGCTCAAATTGTTACAAAGTTTTCCCTTAAATCAAAACTAAATATGCCTCTTTAGAACTACTGCTCCAGTTCTACTACCTGGGCTGTAATTCCTTTCTATCGCCACCCCCTCTTTCTCCTGCTTTTCTTCTGAATTCAATTTAACAAACTTATTAAGTACCTACTAAGTGCACAAAACAGGGAATACAAAGACAAAAACAATGGCTCAAGGACCTTAAATTCTCAAGCCTAACATTCCTGATTCCTTCCAGAAATCCTTATAAGGCTGCTACACTCAAGGCAAAGCCACTAATCCCTTTAACAACTTGATCAATCTCCTTAGGACCCATTCAAGATCTTTTTAAATTATGAATTGAATTGCCTCACTTTAAAATGGCAAGAGAATGTTAGGTGTGAATTTCAAGAAAAACAATGAATTAACTCTGGATCTTTTTTCAGGCTGGTAAAAATATGGGGCAAGGAGGTACAGATTTCTTGCAAAATAAAAAAAATATGCCTTTTCTGAGCATTTAACTAATGTGGTGAGAAAATAAGTTCGTGCAATGTATAATGACTTTGATGAGTATACCTGAAGGGATGACTTCCCAATTGCAGGTTCTAGGTTGTTGCTGTGAACAAGCCTTTCAAAGACAACCTGCAGAAAGAGCGTATGGACTGCTTGCTCACTGAAGATCATATTCTAACACCATCTGGAAAAGTCAAGAAACCCTCAGTGGGTTTACTGTGTGAATGGCTACTGCAGCATGGAATGGATGCTTATTTGAGAGTACTATTACAGGCTTCAAGAAACGCAGCATAATAAACGCAAATGGAAGACAAACTGTGGGAAAAGGAAGCTTCAGGGCAAAAGGGCTTAGGCAGTGAGAGAAAATAAGGAAATTGTGCAGGCAACATTTGCAAACAACTCTCTTCTGCTTATCTGTTGTTTGTTGGTGATGTTGTACTGATTAATATTTTGATGTTTCACATGATAGGTCCACAGCAAATACAGAAACCTACCAAATGCTCTAATTTTACAATGTTTTCCTATAAGACAGAGCTAGAAGAGACCTTAAAGATCATTCAGTCCAACTCCTTAATTTTACAGATAAGGAAACCTCTTCTTTGAAAAGCAAAATCATATTAGGTTTGAGATCACCTTATATATGGGACAATACGGTATATCAAAACTTTGGGATTCAACTGCTAAGGTTCAAGAGAAGCAATCTTAGGGATAAGACAAAAGTAGAATAAGTCTTACACTGCAGTAAAAACTCATCTACATATCCCAAGTGGAGGGTTTCAAACTGTGGGAACTCCAATTCTGCCATCTTAAGTGCAGAAAAGACGCCATCTTTGGTTAGAGAAGGCTGGATTCTAACTTCATGTAACCTAAGAAGAAAGGAATACAAAGATGAGATCAAAGAAAGTCAAGTAAGGTTTCACTAAAGTCACAGACACCTTTTGTAAATCATTTATGAAAATAGTTCTTTCCAAGGATCATCACTATACATCACAGAAGCCAACCAAAATAATGAAGTTGATTCCATGGATACCAAAGACAAATCCCCAGAGTGATCACTAGACTTTCTCACTACTCAAGTGTCATCACAATTTCAGTTGGTCTGGGCCTCCTGTAACAAAGTTGTCCATATTTACACTGAGAAACAATGAAGAGAATGGTGGTATTTAGATTTCCCCTTCCTTCTAACACAGGAAGTTGCTGCTTTAGTAAAGAGCCTGAAATAGTCTAAACTAGTCACCCTTCATAACTTTTATAAAGCAGCTAAGTCACTGTGGATTATTATCTATTTTTTTTTCAGTAACTTAAGCAGTACTCTTCAGAACCTTGTGGTCAAGTCCTACTTGAAAAAATTGTTCCATTAGCAACCCAAGAGGAAAAATGGTGTGTAATTTCTCCAAGGGAAACATGAGAGGAATAAAGAAGACATACATACCTTCGAGCAGCAGTGATGATGAGGTAGCCAAGATCTACTTCAAGAGCATTCTTGCAAGCTCCCAAAACAATAGTGTGCAAATTTCTAAAACCACCTGGACAAGGCAAGGGAGGAAACAGAGAATTAAAAGCATGCTTTTCTTCTGACCAATCAGCTTGTTACTTCAAACTTTACATTTTAGGCACGACAATGGTATATATACAAAATTATTATAGTCAGTGGAAATCAAACCAGCACTCCTGTTCAAGCCTGCCAATTGCTAAAGATGGATTACAATAAAGGCTACTTCCTAAAAAATGTTGGAAATGGACACTGATGCAACGTTTCCTAAAGAAAGCTAGTGAATTGTCAAGAGAGAAATTTTAATAGAAATTTCATGAATTTGCAGACTTCTGGGTAATGTGTGAATCATAAGTCAACAAGCATTTATTAAGTGCCAAGAACTATGCTAAAGACTAGGGGGAAAAACCAGTCTCAAAAAATTATTTAGAACAAGACAAATTCAGGATAAATTAGTGATGATTTCAGAGCAAAGGGTTAAACTAAGGTTATAGAGGACTGGGAAAGGCTTCTTGTAAAAGGTGGACTTAGTGACATTAGGGGGATTAGTAAATCAGGGAAGCCAGGAGGCAGAGATGAAGGCAGTCTTAAGGCATGGGAGACAGCCAGCAGAACTATCTGGAACCAGAATGTCACTGACTCGTAAAGCAAGTAGAAGGGAGAAAGGTATAAGAAGACTAGAAAGATAGGAGGGAACTAGGTTATGCAGGGCTTTTAATGCTAAGCAAAGGATCATATCCCTTGTTCCCTGAGGTAACAGAAAATTACTGGAATTACTGAAGAGGGGCAGAAGGTGATATGGTCAGACCTCTGCTGTATGAAAATCAATCTGATAGGTGAATGGAAGACGGACTGGAATAAGGAGACATTGGAGGCAAGACGACTACCAGAAAGCCACTGCAATAGTCCAGGCATGAGGTCATGAGGGTCACTGCACCAGGCCTGGCCTCTGTTAGCCATGCTAACAGAAAAAGCAGCTTATACAAGAGATACTATGAAGGTAAGATTGATAGGACTTGGTAACCAATTGGATGTGGGAAAGTAAGAGGGTGAGGAGTTGAAGATGATCACTTCTGAGTCAAAACTTGAATACTGTTGCAACAAGATCAAGAATAACAGTTATGGACTTTCCATTCCCTTACCTGATGTTAGTCTTATTCATTCAAAAGACATTTATTAAGCTTTATGCTCAGAGCAAGACAAAAATAAACAAGTTCCTGCCCTTGAGGAAGTTTTAAAAATCTAGAAGGCTCTCTTTACTGGCATGCTTTAAACTTCAATACTTTAACTTCAATATTACTGACACAGATCACAACTTTCTCTTACACTCTTAATAACTGGTCTTCATGGGTTGCTGTGGCCAAAAAAGGTTTTTTTACCTCTAAAATTTTTAGCACAATGTCTTACAGGACAACCTTCTAGCAATGAATTTTTCTGCATTTAACTAAGCAAGTCCTCAAATTATAGTCACAAAGTCCATTCTGAGGCCCATACATGAAGCCCTTCTTCCTTGGTAGTGGCCATCTAGTGTTTGCATAACTGCTATGGCTTTTCAGAATGTATAATCCCCTCCATGCAGCTTTGGAGGATTTGAGCATACCTTCAATTATTGAAAGGTATTAATCAAGGAGTGACTAGGGTTAAGCGGTCTCTGACTTTCTTATGAGGTCCTCATGTGTAACCTCAGCTCTCTGAGCTTATACCCTAGTAATCAATCCGTTTAAGTCACAACATTGTAGAAAGAATCCTAGACTTGAGAATTAATAGACCTGGGTTTGAATCACAACTCATACTTATCAGCTATGTAAGCATGGTCAAATCACTTAACCTTAGCTTCATCTTTAAGATGGGGAAAACAACATTTGCACCAAGTACAGGACAGTTGTGAAGAAAGTCTGTAAAACTTAAAACCCCAAAACAACAAATATGAGCTGTTATTATCAATTTTATGGTAATGTTTTGAATAGCTACTAATCTCTAAATACCTCCCACTTAGACTTAGGAAGCCCACTTCCTTCTCCTTACCTCCTATAACCAAGCACATTTTTGTTTTTGGTCAGGACCTATGATTTCTTCAGTGACAAGAGATTCTGTTGAGAAAACTGTATTCCCCAATGCAGAATGGCAACTTTTCTGCAACACACAGTATTCTAAGTTTATCTGGAACACTGCGTGGTTAAATGCCTTGCCCAGAGCCACACAGTCAGCATGAGTCTTCTTGACCTGAAAGCCAGCTCTCTAGTCACTGCTCCATGCTGCCTCTCAACCAGACATGCATATACCAGAGTTACTTAACTCATAAAGTATTTTCAGAAGACTCATGTTCTTCCTAGTGTTTTAATGAAAATTGCTCTAAATTTTCTTTTACATGTTAGCACTATTGCTCATGCTATGATACCTTCTCTTTACTCATACGCATCTTGAATACTTGAACTTTGATTTCTAGCTTTAAGCATAAAACTTAAAATTATATGCAGCATCACAACTTCTGTTTGATGTCTGAAAGCTAAACCTGCTTACACTTTCACTCATACGCTATCAACAAGAAGGGTATTTTTAAGTCGATTCTACTTTGCATGGTCACTGGATATCTGATAGGTTAGGATTTCCTAGTTTGTGTAAGTTGCTTATTTGGTTGATGATGATTTTAATTCCCAACCCATTGTGTGGACCACTCAGGGAGAACTAATGAAAGAATATTTGTTAAACAAGATGGGCAGGTATGAAACAATCCCTGGAGAGAGTACCAACATCTCTGAAAGCAAAAAGCTTCTTTCCCTTCCCCCAAACCGATGAAATCAAAAGTTCTTGGCATAATGATATAATTACAACCAATATGATTTTATAATAATTTCTATTATCATGAATTTTGTTAATTATTTTACTACAGATACTTGCTAGCTGGGGTCAGAATGTTAATGCCTTACCATATGACAATTTTTAATCCTTTAACACATTTCATTAATAATTAATAATGGTTATTTTCCTAAACGTATTTGATGTATCACATGAAAGGTAGAATAAGAGATTTGAGTTGCAAATCCCAAGTCATGAAACTCTGAAGTCTTATTCAACCAAGCTCTAAATGGCACAAAAATATATCAAATAGAATTTCTAATACACAGCCTCAAGACATGATTCAATGTATCAGTAATCAAGCAACAAGCAAGAAGAAAAGGTCTCTTGCTCCACTTCTTTTCAAATGACATAAGAAAGGTTTGATTAGTAACAACTGATTTCTATCACTTTTAAAACGAATGACCTTTAAAAAAAATGAAGCTGCAGAAGGAAATTAATTTTTTACTGGTCTTCAAAGACTGCACAATACTAAAGAATAAATGAAAGAACCATACCTGATCGCCAACTGTCTTCAACTACATGCTGGATGAGACCTCCAAGAAAAGGAACTCGAACCAATTCTAATTGTTCCAAGTTTCGGGCAGAAGCTAATCCTGTTACCAATGGGACATACTTCAAAGAGTTTGTAGGCCCTGGGGGAAAAAAAACCCCACAACATAACATAATGATATGACAGTGGCGGCAGTGGTGGTGGTGATAGCTAGAATTTATATGGTGATTTATTTAAAGTTTGCAGAGCACTTCACAAAATTTTCTTATTTTATCCTCACAACAACCCTGCGAAGTAGGTAGTTATTATCTCCACTGTACAGCTGAGGAAACTGAGGTAAACAGAAGTTAAATGACATGCCCAGGCTCACACAGCTAAGTATGTATCTGAGGGCACATTTGAACTCAGGTCTTTTCAAGGTTAAGTCCAGCTTTCTACCTACTGAGTCACTTACCTGTTTCTATGTAACTTTTAAGATGAACAGTGGAAACTTACTTTTCAGGATTTATTTTCAAATGTGTGCCTGCAAATACAATCGTAGGAGTTTTAGAGAGCCTAAGTCCAAACTTCTCATTTTGCAGATTCAGGAATTAATGATCCAAAAGATGAAGTGACTTCATCCAGGTCACATTTCCAGCCTCAGTGTGCTGACCTCAGACTAGGCCTCTTTTCAAATAACTTCCTCAAAATTTTATGTGTGCCTCAAAATGACACAAAAGTGGCTGGGCCTCCATAATGATATTTCTCCTTGCAATAAATAGTCAGAAGGCTCTGGACGTTAATTCGGGCTCTGCCATTTACTCATAAGTGACTCTTGAAGCCTCAATTTCCTCCTCCCGTCATAAAATCAGAAGTCGGACTCGATGATTTCTACTATCCCTTCATGCTCTAAAATCCCATGCTTCCAGTTAGCCTGCTAATGACCTTGTTCTCAATATGCAAAAACACATCTGAGTGAAATATGAAGACTATCCATGGTGTTCCTTCTATATTCCTTCAGCACAGTTACAACTGTGATTCTATACTCCTGACCAAGTCAATGAACAATAACCAAATAAACATTTTTGAACAATTAGCTGCCAGACATTGTGCCAGCAGGATATAAGAAATTTAAAAAGCATATAGCTTAAAACCCCGAAACAATTATCAAGTGAAACAACAAAGAATACAAATAATCCACTGGCAAAACATAAAATGTAGATACGTTTTGAACTAGATGACCTATGTGATCCCTTCCAACTGTTACATGCCATAACTCTATGACTCTAAAGTACTACCAGGGGTCAGAGAAGGGACATAGTCACAGAAAGCTTCATAGAAGATGCAGTATGATTGTTTGAAGTAGAGGGGAACTTACAAATTTTCTCCTCTAATATGTGTATCATATAGGTTAAAAAACTGAGGCCAAGCGTGATTAGGTAATTAAGTGTGTCCAAAGGACACCTTGTGAATTAGTGGCAAGGTGAAGATAGCACAACATAATCCTAGGCAGGTAAGGTCAGAACCAATACGGCCATGTAGGGGATAGTGAAGAAGTAGGACTAAAGCAGAAGGTAGATGGAGGCAGCTAGGTAGCACAGTAGATCGAGCCTTGGGTCTGGAGTCAGGAAGACCTGAGTTCCAATCCAGCCTCAGACACTGAGCAAATCACTTAATCTCTGTTTGCCTTAATCCAATGAAAAAGGAAATGGCAAACCATTCCAGTATCTTTGCCAAGGAAACTCCATGGAAAGCACTGGTATACTATGGTCCACAGGGTCACAAAGAATCAGATATGACTGAACAGCAAAGACACAGAGGAACTCAGAAGGCATAACAAAGAAAAAGCTTCTCTTTTACAGAACATGGATAATGAGGAAATTTGTCTTGTGTCATTTATTATTTATAATGGGTTTTGTATTTTTTGCCTTCTCAGTAGATGGAGGGAGAGAATTTGGAACTGTAAATAAAATAAAATTCAATAAAGAAAGTGGGGGGGAAAGGTGAATGTTAAGTAGGAGGAAATAAGTACAGACAAGTAGGACCTAGAAAAGTAGGCAGCAATGCTGCACCCTACTGCTATAGCTAAGGGAATCACTGAATATTTCTGAGCACAGAAGTGACAGGATAAAAAGTACTACTTAAGGAAAACAAGTTTGGAAAATGTATAAATGATGGATTGGCTAGAAACAGAACAGAGTCATGGAGCCTAAGTAGGAAACTATTTCAGGATGAAATGATGAAAGCCTAGATCAAGAATCACACTAGAATGGAATGTAAAGGAGAGACATGAGAAATGATTTGACAGATTTCCTTTTAAAAGGTTAAAAATATGTTCAATATTGTACTAGAAATGCTAGCTATAGCAATAAGATAAGAAAAAGAAACTGAAGGAATAGGCAATGAGGAAACAAAACTATCACTCTACAGATGATATGATGAAATAAATACTTGGAGAAGCCTAGAGAATCCACTAAAAAACTAGTTGAAATAAGTAACAACTTCAGCAAAGTTACAGGATATAAAATAAACCCACACAAATCATCAGCATTTTCATAACAACAAAATCCAAAAATAAGAGATAGAGAAGCTCCATTTAAAATAACTGCAGACAATATAAAAATATTTAGGAGTCTATTTGCCAAGAAAAATTCAGAAACAATACAAACATAATTACAAAACACTTTTCACATAAATAAAGTCAGATCTAAACAAAAGGAAAAATATTAATTGCTCATGGGTAGGCTGAGCCAATGTAATAAAAATGACAATTTTATCTAATTTAATTTATTCAGTGACATGCCAATTAAATTACTAATAAAATTATGCTATAGAGCTACAAAAAACAGTAACAAAATTCATTAGGAAGAGCAAAAAATAGTCAAGAATATCAACAAAATTAGTGAAGAAAAATGTGAAGGAAGGTGTCCTAGCCAAATCAGATCTCAAACTGTATTATAAAGTGGTAACCATCAAAGCCATCTGGGACTGGCTAAGAAATAGAGTGGTGTAAGAGACCGGGTACACAATATACAGTGGGTAATGACCACAGTAATCTAGTGTTTGATAAACCCAAAGATGCCAGCTTTAAGAACAAGAACTCATTATCTGACAAAAACTGCTGGGAAACCTGGAAAGCAGTTTATCAGAAACTAGGTATAGACCAACATTTCGCAACATATATCAAAATAATGTCAAAATGGACACATGATTTAGACATAAAGGGTGATACCATAAGCAAGTTAGGGGAGCAAGGAATAGTTTACCTGTCAGATCTATGGATTAGGGAAGAATTTGTAACCAAATAAGAGACAGAGCATAACAAGATGTAAAATGGATAATTTTGATTACGTTAAGTTAAAAAGGTTTTACACAAACAAAACAAATGCAGCCAAGATTAGAAGGAAAGCAGAAAACCGGGGGAAAATTTTATGGCAAGTTTCTCTGGTAAAGACCTGATTTTTCAAATATATAGGAACTGAGTCAAATTTATAATACACATCATTCTCCAACTGATAAATGGCCAAAGGATATGAACAGGAAATTTTGAGACAAAGAAATCAAATCTATCTATGGTCATATGAAAAAATACTCTAAATCACTATTGATTAGAGAAATGCAAATCAAAACAACTCTTTAGGTACCACCTTATACCTATAAGACATTGGAAATATGGGAAAACTGGGACACTAACGCACTTTTAGTGGAGTTGTGAATTGAACTAATCATTCGGAAGAGTGATTTGGAACTCTATCCAAAGGGCTACAAAACTGTGCATACTCTTTGACCCAGCAACCTACTACTAGGTCTATATCTGAGAGGGGAAGGGAGGGGAGGGGAGGAAAGAAAAGAAAAAGGATCTATATAGCTCTTTTCATGGTGGCAAAGAACTGAAAAATGAGGGGATGCCCATCAGCTGGGGATTGGGTGAAAAAGTTGTAGTACATGATTGGGATGGAATATTATTGTGCTATAAGAAATGACAGGCAGGATGCTTTCAGAAAAACCTGGAAAGACTTAGATGAACTGATATAAACTGAAGTAAACAGAACCAGGAAAACACTGTACATAGTAACAGCAATATTATATGACAATCAACTGTGAATAACTTAGCTATTCTCAGCAATATAATGATCTAAGACAATCCCAAAGGATTTATGATGAACAATGCTATCCACCTCCAGAGAAAGAACTCACAGAATCTCAATGCCGATGGAAGAATATTATTTTTTCCTTTTTTTGCATATCTTTTTTGTGTGTTTTCTTTCACAACAAGCTGATATGGAAATATGTTTTGCATGACTGTACATGTATAACTTGTATCAAACTGCTTGTCTTCTCAATGAGGGGAGAAGGGAATAGGACGGGAGAGAATTTGGAACTCAAAAACTTTCAAAAATTGTTTTTGCATGTAATTGGAAAAATAAAATATTTAAACAGTGAAAAAAAAAAGTTAAATGTATTTTTCATGATCTCCTCCAAAACTTCTTTGAAGTAAAAAACAAACAAAAAAACAAATCAAAAATCCTCAGGGAAGAGTAGCGGAATACATAGAACTTGTTAGAATGAAGTAAGAGCACCTGGCTCAAACCTCAAGTCCACTACTTATCATATGTGTGACTTTGGACAAATTATTTCGTTTCTCTGGGCCTCAGTTTCCTACATCTGCTTAAAAAAGATAAAAGGGGTTGTATTAAATGACCTCTAATGCTCCTACTACTTCTAAAGCTACAAACTTACTTATCTTCAGGAAGTAACATTTAGTGCACAATAATGTTCTAATTAGCTCAATGTATGAGTATATAACACTAAATTTTACTTCAGGATTCTTTTAATGTGTGTAACTTATAAAAATTCTGTCACTCAACCATATAATTACCTGCACAGTTCCTCATGACAAAAGTGCGTAAGCTGATGCAAAGGAAATCTTTAAAAGGCTGGGGCTTGGTGAGTCTCACCCACTTCAAATAAAGGTGCCTTAGCATTGGGATACAAGGAATTTCAGGAACATTCACCCCTAGGGAAAAAAAAAAGCATTCAAGAATTCATGAAAATCAAATGCCTTATTTCACAAGCAAGAAAGTCCAAGAAGGTATTTTCTAAGTAAATCTCACTGACCAATTCTGGGAGACTTCAACGTCTGCAATTCATTTAACCAATGCATATTAAGTATGGTCTATTTAAAATAATCCTGAACCACATGGACATATTTACTTTAAAACAGACTTCTATTAATCTGATCATTTTTCTCGGTTCTTTTCTGAAACTTATCTACACATCAATTTTTTAAAAATGATTAGCAATATAGAAAGCACTGAAGATGGAGATGAAAAATGGCCCAGGCTTTGCTTTCAAAGGCTCACAGACTTATATGGTATAGGTACAGCACTTCTTAAACTGTGGGTCATGACCTCATACAGAGTGGTGTAACTGAATGTAGGGGTCACAAAAAATTTGGCAACAGCAGGTTTCTGAATATGCAACAAACAAAACTTAATTCAAATGTGTACCGAATCCAAGGTGTTTCTGGTCGTATCTCACAATTTCACTGTAGCCTTGGTCTTGAACACACAACATGTGCAGTTTGCACTGCATATGCTGTCATGCTATGCAACACGAAAGAACACTGCCAGAAAACACCTTGGCTCAGATTTGAGACTATAGTATGTTAGGAATGCAGAGTTTTTAGTGTATATACAAAGTTTTCTGCTCTTACAGAAACATAATAGCTTAATTATGGAAAACAAAGATTTTTAATATTTTCCTACTGTCATTCCTAAGTATTAATATATGATTTGATTGTATTGTGTTAGAATATTTGATTTTTAAAATTGCTGTTATCGCCTTCTTTTACAAAAACATTAAGTGCTTAATTGCAGCAAGTAAAGACTAAAGCCCTTTAATAACATTTCTCCACCATCACTGTTGTATGTGTTATGTAAGTGTCAACATCATTTTTTTAAATTAAGGACAAATAAATGTAATTTCATAAACTAAAGCTAGTATTTATTTGAAAAATTATCAACAATATTTATATTTTAAGACAAAAGCGATTTTTTGGTTATGGAAAAGTGGCTAAATTTAGACAGAAGACGTAAAAATACTGATGACAATGAGGTAGAGTCTTTCTACCAGGTTGTAGTACACCTAAATTGGAAAGAAAAAGAAAATATGCTGAATCATGTGGCTCCCAAGAGGGTGAAGTTTAAATAGATTACTGAAAATGAAACTGAAATTGTTGTATTTTTGACTGAGCAGAAATCTGATTTTGTTAATTTTTTTTCATAATGACTTATGTTAAAAGATAAAACTGAAAGTTTTACTAAAAAAGTTAACATGGAAGACAAATGCAGAAAATGGTTCTTTAGAAATGTTTATAGCTACAGATGACTGTGTAACTGAAAATCACCTTCTCAAAGACTTAATTGTAAGAGTTATAATTATTCATCTGAAATGCCTGGAGATACAATTTCAGAAATACTTCCCTTCAAATTTTGATTCTAAAAAACTAAGTTGGGTTCATAAATCATACTCAATTGATATAAAAAATGTCAGTCATCTGCCATTAAAAGTTCAAGAAGAATCTGCCAAGTTATCAAGTGACACAGGTTTAAAATTTGAGTTTCCTAAAAAATCATTAAATGAATTTTGGCTTGGGATTAGGACAGAATCTCCAACAATTTCTGAAATGGCCCTAAACATACTCTGCCATTTTGTACTACGTATTTATATGAAGTGGTGTTCTCAACATTGATAATCATAAAATCAAAATATCAATCAACTCTGAAAAATGCTGAGGATGCTCTGCATCCTGCAATATCAAATATTTCACCAAGATTTAATTATTTATGTAAAAATAAAAAAGCACATCCATTTCATTAGCATGCAAATTTGCTTTCATCTTTAATAAATGGTAAAATTATATGGATACCAAAGAATTGTTTTAAACTATTTTTTTATGATTTATTATCAGTAAATATTTGATTTCTATACCTCTTTTATATACCTGAGATTGTGTAAAAATTTCTTGGGTGAAAAGAGGTCATAAGTGGAAAAAGTTTACAAAGTCCTGGCATATGGGAAGGGACATATAAAGTATGACAGGGACAAAGAATTATAAGATATCTGAGGAAGAGATATTTCATCAGATGGAAGGCAAGCATGTTCAAGGAAGGCTTCATCTGCACCCCATATATCCCAAACCATTCCCTTTTCTTTATAGAACTCAAGATAGAAAGAAAAGCAGATCACTGTGCTTGGAGACAGGAGGAAGTGGAAGAAGAAAGAAGGTTGTCATGATAGTAAAGGATTGAAACTGGTCAGGGTGGAAGATGGGGGGCAGTGTGGAGAGGGTGGTGGTGGGAGACTTGCAATGGACAGATTTGAGCAAGAACTGACTCAAGTCTAAATATTTCTCTGGCAGGTCTACAGTTAGTAAATTGGAGGAAATATTATTAATACTGCCCTTTGAATCTGACACTAATAATTATTTAGTTATTTTCGATATTTTTTAACATTAGGCAGATGTAGATATGACTGAGAGGTACTCTGTGAATGTGTCAGTGTGTTTCTAGCACTGTCTCGTATAAGGCAAAATAATTTAAGATAAAAATATCAACAAACTGAAGGGCAATTCATGAAGCTACCCTAGCTGGATGAAAATGTCCTAGAAGGACTTACTCCTTTTGCTCCATGAGAAACAGTACAAAAACATTAGTCATATGAGTAAGAAGTCCCAAGTAATTTCATTTCTAAGTCTCAGTTTCCTTATCTGTAAAACAGTGATATTATCTGTGCTATGTAAGACTCAGAGACTTGCTATAAGAATCAAATAGAAAGACTTATGAAACCATGAAGTGCTATGAAAATATCAGATGTTATCTATAAAATGAACATAATATATCATCTTACAGGGTCATGAGGAAAATGTTCTGTAAACCATAAGAGGTGAGCTATTATTAATTATATGCTCACTAAGCTGCTTTCTGACTTAGTAATTAAGTCTCCCATTAAGAGAGTAGCCTCTGAAGAAAGCACTCATACTATCTATCTTGCCAAATAAAAACCTCATTGTCAATGAGTTACTTGGCATTCTGATTTATGAAAGCGTATCTTTTAAGTTTCCATAGTGTGAACCCTTAGCACTTGAGAACCTCAGCGTAAACTAAATAAAAGCAAATTTCTGAGCCTGCAGAGCTCAAGAGCTCAGAGACTTGGGGCTGCTCCCACCCAGGTACTACCAAGATGAGAGGCCCAGTCAGAAAGTCAGTTGGCTTTTCTCACATGTAAGCACTTAAAAACTTCAGAATTCTGTAGGCCTTAACTTCCTGAATGTGACCATTTTCAGGACAGAGTTACTAGTTACTGACGTACTCTACTTAAACTTCAAGGAACCAGGATTTTACAGTGGGTCCAACACAGATCACAACTCTTCTTCCATACTTTATCATATGGTCTTCAGGAATTGGTATGGAAAAAATCATTCATCACCTCAAGTCCAACTTTCTGGTGATACCAGTTCTCCGCACTTAGCTAGACTAGACCTTAGATGATCAACTACACTTAAAGCCTTTCTAGTTTGATAAAACCTGCCAGAGCTTGCCCTCTGCTGGCACAGCCTTTGAGAAAGTGAGGTCAGCTCCTCAATGTGAGACAATGGAGGAAGACTTTAGAGGAACAGAAAACTACTAGTTCACATTTCTATGATATTTAAATTTTACAAAGCACTTTCCTCACACTAGAGTGGTACAGGCTACATGAATGCCTGTAACTGGTCAATAGATAAAACTGAAGGAAAAGGGATGCTGGCCACCATGACAGAGGAGGAGAAAGTGAGCTTTAATGACTATTGGACAGTTGTTTGAATGCTCCAATGACAATGCCAAAGTTTCTAGTTTCATTATTACCTGAGAGTGAAATTGTAGAGTTTGGAGTTAAGTCTGGAAGGATAGCAATAATTTCAAAGTAACTCATGGAAACTTCCCCAAAAATTACATGCCCCAAAAAACCATTTCATTAATCTCAATTACAGCTGTCCTTAAGGTTTCAAGAAAACAGAGACTAGGTACAGAATACTCAGCTGCCCCAATAACTTCTGAAGCACAAGTGGACATGAAATAAACACTGACTGTAATAGAATGATGTAAGTATGAAAAGTGTTATTGAGTTTGAAAAGCTACCCAGGAAGGAGTGTACTTAGCAAGCTTGTTAATAAGAAAACCAAATTTCTGCTCAACTTCTTCAAGAACTTTCTGAAATCTATAGGAGCTGGCAGGTGTCTTCTTCATACGGAATGCAAATTTTATGGCACTGGCAAAGGAGGATCCCAAGTGATAGCAGAAAGCGTCCACTCACCCACTAGATGCAAGATTTGGATTTTGGCTCCTATAGGAATTTTCAATTTGTTTTCAGGAGGGATGGGAAAAGCTCCATTGCGATTACGAAACTTCCCCAAAATATGAACTTGAGGCATATATGTCCAAATCGCTTCCACCAACTCCAAATGTGAAGTTTCCACACCCTGCATTGTAACACATTAGTAGGAGAGGAACTTGTAGTTAGCATCTGAAAACACACATTCTCTTTTCATAGTAAAACATTAAAGCAAATGAACTCAGAGCATCACTGCCCCCCCTCGCCCCTTCCCTAAAATTTGCTGCTGAAATGCAACAAGTAACAACTCTGGTTTTTATACTACTTCGAAATTACAAAGTGCTTTAGTTCCGAGTTGAGATTATACCAGTAGGTAGATAAAAAAACAACAACCGGGAAACAACCTCTCTGATTTCAGTTATCTGAAATAATAACACTCATATTTCTAAAGGAAAAGCAACTTACTCATACAACTAATAAGCACCAGAGCCAGGTCTTCTGAGTCCAAGACTCTACTAAAATATGGGGCTTGATGAGATTAGTATTCTCTAATCTAAGTTAATCACAGAATATTTCTAATCTTGAAACATGATAGATTGTTCATGCATAGGCACCGGAGGCCAAATGATATAAACTGTCTCCAAAACAGAGAGGCGTAGGGAAAATATCAGAACAAAATAAAAGACATTACATTTATACAGAAAAACTGATATATATTAGTAAGTATTTTTGATAAATACATTTAAGAACCAGAGGAAGGTCTCCAGTACAACAGGTAAGACTTTATGGAGGGTTTAAAAAAAGCAGCACACAGGAGAAGGGGGCATGAAGGGACTGTAGTCTGAACAAAAGGAGAGTCCACCATTACTGATCAGATCATGGAGGTAAACTACGAAGTACAGGGGCTATTTCATATCGGAATATTCATTACACAGGTCCCTGAAGTTATGAGGCTGCACTCTGGTTCAGTCTGGAGCTGGCTTTGCGAACTCCTGGTTGCAAAACTCCTTTACCAAAGCAGATAAGCAGCTATTTTGCAACTTAAGACTCGTGGCTGAGTAGACTACTGAGAAATAAGATGGCTTGCCAATACGTATTAGAAGGGAACTTGAACCCAAGTCTTCCTAACTCTGAGGCTAGCTTTCTACTCACTATGCCATGATGCATTCCTATATACTATGAAGAGTAGAAAAAATTGTAACAAAAAATATTCATTAATGAATTCACCACTTATAAAATTAGTTACTACTTAATTATACCTCCCCACTTTATACTAGTATATATACCTGACCACCACATTAACATCTCTGCTGGGTTAGTCTTGTAAAATATTAAGATTAAGAGAAGCCCTTGGGAAAATGGACACAACCCTCGAATATTTTTACAAAAATAACCCTCTTGATGATCACGCTATGAAAACAAAATATGAAATGAAAGATGTCATATTTTGCTGACATATACTTTTATTATAAAAAATAAACCTTCAATTTCCTCACTTGATTCTAATAATTAGTGTTGAAACTATGACCTGAATTTTGTTAATATGAAAAAATATCGAGAGGATTCTGGGAAAATGGTGGAGTAAGTCAGAAAATTTCTGGGTCTCCAAATTTCCACCACCAAAAAAAAAAAAAAGACAACATCGCCTCACAGGAAATATAGAGCAGCAGAAATAAACAAAAGTTGGGGTAAAGCAGATGTCCTCCTAAGACAATCTGAGAAGACCCCAGGAAAAACTCAACTTCCAGGGGAAGTTCAGCCTGAGTGAAGTGCAAACACCTCCAGGCTGAATGAGTGGAATCAACAAACAAAAAGCCCTGGGAGGAGCAGGGTTGGGAGACAGCCTCAGCCTTAGAAACTTTCATCTCAGGACAGTGTATGTGTGTAGGGGTCTGATGGCTGAGTAGTAGGGACACCAGCCAGAGCTGTGCTGACCAGACACATCCTGAGGTATGGCTGCTGGGAAAAAGAGCCAGCACAATCCTGGTGAGTGCAGTGGCAGATGGGTGTAGCCTCTGCGGGCTGTGGGCACTTGCAGAAGAGTAAGTTTCAGCTTCCTGATTTCAGTTCCAGGACAGAGAGGACAGCTGTAGTTTGCAGCCACCTACGGGACCACAGGGAGCAAGATCATTTGTGCAACACCACGGCTGGGGGCCCTAGCCATGGCTTAGGAGTAGACAGCCCAAGGCTGGGTCCCTGGACAGACCTCAGAAAATAATATTAAGAAGGTTGAGGCTTGGGGCATCATGCCCCATATTTTGGGACTAGAACTGGATTATATTAATGAGTAAGCAAAGAAGAAAGAACCCAACCACAGACAGTTACTATGGGGACAGAGAAGACCTGGGTTCATATTCAGAGGAAGATAATAGACCTTAAAAAGCCACTCTTTTCTCAATGAAAAAGGTCAAATGGTTCCAAGCACAAAAAGAGTTCTTAGAAAAAATTAAAAAGGATTTTAAAAATAAAAGAGAAATTGAGGAAAAATTTGGAAAAAAATTATAGCAATCCAAGAAAATCAAGAAAATTATCAAAAGAAAGTCAACCAACTTGAAATACAGAATCAAAAACTTAAGAAATTATTTATTCCTTGAAAACTAGAATTGGGCAAGAGGACGCTAATGACATCCTAAGACACCAAGAAATAATAAAACAAAACCAAAAGAATGAAAAAACAGAAGAAAATGTGAAACATTTTATCAGAAAAAACAACTAATCTACAGAATAATATAAGAATATTTAGACTATCTGAAAGATATGATCAAAAACAGAATCTTACTACAATATTATAAGAAATTATGAAGGAAAATTGCCCTAAAGCTCTAGAACAAGAAAGCAAAGCAGAAATAGAAAAAAAAATCCACTGATTACTTCCTGAAAGAGATCCCTAGAGGAAAACTTACAAGAATATCACAGCCAAGTTTCAACACTCCCAAGTTAAGGAGAAAACATTGCAAGCAACATGAAAAAAACAATTTAAATATCATGGAGCTACAGTAAGGATTACACAAGACCTAACAGTTACTATGGTGAAAGACTGTAGGCTTTGGAATGCTATGTTTTGTAGAGTAAAATAGCTGGGGTTATGACCAAGGGTAACTTACCCAGCAAGTAATTCTGAATGAAAAAAAAAATGGACATTTAATGAACTGAAAGACTTTGGGGTATTTGTGACAAAAACAGTAGAACTTAATGGAAAATTCAACATACAAGATCCCGGAAAAATACAAGGTAAACACTGAAGACCAAATATAAAGGACTCAATAAGGTCAAACTGTTTACTTCATATACATGAAAATGTTAGCAGTACTCTTATGATTGTCATAATTCAGGCAGTTTGAAAGAAAGGCTTGGACTGAGCTATATGTGACAGAGTCATTCTAAAAAAATAAAACTAGGGAGAGATAAAAAGGAGTAATTATCTCATATAAATGAGGCATAAAAGGAAAAACTGATTTAGAAGAAGGTAGCAGAGGGAGAGCAGGTAGTGCTGGAAACTTACTCTCATCAGGAATGGGTTAAAGAGGGAATAACATATACCTAGAAGGATGTAAAAGTCTTCTAAATTCAGAAAGAAATAAGAAGGCAAGGGGAGAAAAAGGGGAGGAGGAGAGAGAGAAGATAAGGAAGACACTCTTGGAGGAGTTGATTAGGTTAAGGAATAAGAGGGAAAGGTAGAGGGTAGAAGTAAAGCAGAGGAGTGAGGGGGGATAGGGTAAACAGGGTGAGAAGGATAGTGAGTAAAAATTAGGAAGGAGGAAAATATACAAGTAATTATAGCTTACAATGTGAATGGGATAAATTTACCCATAAAACAGAAATTGACAGCAGATTAAAATTTTGAATTAAATATGTTGTTTCCAGGAAACACTACAAAAATGAGAAATAAAAACAAAGATAAAATAAAGGGCAGGAGTAAAATTTATTATGTAATGAAAGCAGGGGTAGTAATCATGATCTCAGACAAAGTTAAAGCTAAAACAGACTTAAAAGAGAAAAATATGGAAACTATACAATGTGTCAGCAATAGTATTCAATACTGTTTCAGACCATTTAAAATAACTAGACAGTATAAAATACCTGAGAGTATACCTGCCAAAACAGACACAGGAACTGTATGAATATAAACATAAAACACTTTTTTACCTAACTAATCTATTTATCCAGTGTCATAACAAATTACTAAAAATTATCTGAGTTAGAAAAAATAAGAACAAAGTTCATTTGGAAAGATAAAAGGTCAGGAATTTCAAAGAAATCAGGGAAAAAAGATGAAAAGGAACCAGATTCAGCAGTACCTTAAATTATCATAAGGTGAAAGCACTGTTGAAGTGTAAAATATATAATTTCTATTATTTTAAATTAAAATTTTTTCTGGTACAAATAAAACCAATATAGCCAAGAACAGAAAGAACGTAGAAAATTCAGGAAAAAAACTTTCATAGACAATCTCTCAGATAGGATATAATTGGGTTGGAATATTGTTGTGGTGTAGGAAATGATAAGCTAGTCGATTTGGAAAAACATGGACTTATGAAAGAATATTCTATCCCACTTCAGAGAAAGAGATGACAAGTGAAAATATGCACAGAACCATTTCATATATATATGTAAGTGTCTATGTGTATATATGTGTATGTATATATATATCTGTGTTTAATTGTAGTCTTCTTAGGGGAAGGGGTGCATGGGGAGAGGGGAAAAAAATAAAGTAAAAAATGCACAGCAGAGAACAAAAGAAAATCCATAAGGAAGCAAAGAAAAGTTGGGTAGCTTTGAATACAGTGTGGTAGTATTTATTATAGATTTTCTTGCAATGGAAATTTATTATTTTATACTAAATCCTCTCTTATGTTCTGCTGTGTGTAGAACAATATTCCTTTGTCTTTTCTCATTTTGTATTTAAGTTTAAAATGAATTTTTAAAAATTACCCAAAAAAAATCCTCATAATTTCAAGATAATAATCAAATTGTTATTCAATGATTTACTATGAAATTTTTTTCCTACTTTAAGTGGATTTGCTTATTATTTTAAGTGGCCCTTTTCTGATGCCTGTAATTCTCAGATAATAAAACCCACTGTAACTAATTTCATGCTCTTGGACAGACAGCAGGAAATAGTGAAGGACATAAAGGCCTGGTGTACTATGGTCCATGGGGTCATGTAAAGTTGGACATGACCAAACAACAAAATCCAATTTCATGTTTAATATTCTATAGAGGAAAATGCAGTTATAGCCATTATCTTTTTTTTTTTTACTTTTTGCTTTTTGGTGAGGCAATTGGGGTTAAGTGATTTGCCCGGGGTCCTCCTAACTCCAAGGCCAGAGCTCTATCCACTGTGCCACCTAGCCACCCCCTATTATCCATTATTTTATTATGAGATTTTCCTAACAACGCTGTAGGACAGGAAGTAGTACAGATATTATTTCCACAGGAATAATGAAGCTTGTTAGTACTTTTTTACTCAAAGATACCCAGACATGTATTAGGGATGATATACTCACCAGCAAGTTTGGGCAAGCCTGCAAGGCTTCTAGCACTCCAGGAATGCTAAAGGCCTCATGGCCACGAACCCGTCGCCTCTCAAGGTACCTAGGGTGAAGGCCATAGAGCTGCTCAATGTCTGGCATCTTCTTGAGCAGTGTTAGAAAACTGGAATCAGTGAAGCCTGAGAAATTTGTAAGAAGACAAGAAGTAAGATTCTCTGGACAGATGAAATGGGTACCTGCTATGTAGGTCTCTAATGTATTCAGATCATTTTATGCTCACATGTTCACATCTTTTATCTTAAAATAGATTCCACTTTCTGATATATAATATTCCCATTGCATAGTCATTTTCTGTCTTCTCTTCATTTGGATATGTTCTAAAATTACTGTAAACTGTTACCAGGATCAGCCTATCCTGTGACTCTGGATCCCTTTCTCAACCTGGGCCCCCATTTCTGACTGTAAAATAAGGCATCTGAATCAAACGATCTCATAGGTCTCACCTAGTTTGAACACTTGAGAAGTTTATATAGGATACCTAACACTACATTAGTATCTAAGGAAAAGTAACAAAATGGACAATCTTCACAGCAGCAGAGTTTTAAGGCTGGAGGGTGATTTAAAGAAGTCATGAAGTTCAAATTTTACAGATGAGAAAAGTGAGGCCAAGTGATATTAAAAGATTCACTCAAGGTCACATAGGTAGCAAGAAGTAGAGTAAAATTTGAACCTAGGTCCTTTGGCTCCAAATACAGTATTCTTTCCATACCTCATCACTCTGCTTTTTTTTGTCACAGTAAAAAGAATTAACTGTACAAGATGACTAGAAACAGAAGGCATAGATCCTGTCTTCCTAGAACATAGTAATTTTCACATAGCAGGCACCAAATGTTTGTAGAATGAACATGAGTGGAAAAATAGCAAATAGTGGTGATTTTTTTTTAACTACAATAAATCATGAAACTGCCTAAGGCAGCAGATCTTGATATGACTGGGGAAGAAAGTACCTAATGATATCAGTGAAATCACAGCTTGGAAGATGAAGCAATACATGGACAGACACATTGACACATCCACCCACCATATGTGTGTGCATACATATATGCATGTATGTATATATGTATGCACATATATACACATATGTATGTATGTGTATACACACAGGTAGATGTGTTAAGCTTTATTTATCTTTATAACAGCATCCTGTATAGTGGTATAATATGATTATTATTATCATAATCATTATATTTGAATGCTTACTACACCAGGTTTTTGTGATAAAAGTACAGATGATTAAATCTTACATTACCAGGACCTATGTCCAACCTATCAATGGGACATTATATTGCTTCACAGTTTTCGAATCAAGTCCATATCAGTTTTATTATTTGATCCTCACAATAATCACGTGATGTTGGCAGGGCAGAGATTATCATCCCTATTATACCAATGCATCAAGTGAGCAGTAGAGAAGGGAAGTAATTTACCCAATGCTACTGGGTTAATTAATAACATGATAGGGACTTTCTGGCTCTTAAGTCACTTATTCTTTCATCTTAGACTCTTTCGTTGTTTGTCCTTCATTTTTGAAGAAGACCATGACATCATGACATCAGGAAGGAGATGTCATGACTTGGACTTAAGTGAAGCAGGGCTGTGCAAAGTCATCAACCTCACTCTCTCTTCCAGAGCCATCTGGCAAGGCATAGATCAGGATAACTAGAGATGGCCCCACTCTTCTTAGACTATGCTACCTTTGAAGTATTAAGATCTAAAGTCAGAGTTTAAAGGGAATGGATGAGGAGAAGGACCACACTGGAGGAAAATCTCTCTTAACCTGGACCATTTTTTCTCAGGCATTCCACCACCTGTTTTAACTCCCTACCTAAGTCATTTTGTACTCTTCAACTTATTTCCTAGCCCTATTTCTCAGTGCTTCAGACAAATCATTCTTTTGATAGTAATAACAGACAACTCAAATTTATGCAGCCTTTGAAAGTTCGCACAGTGCTTTCTTCATAACAACCTGTGAGGTAAGAAGTCCAAATATTACCGTTCCTATTTGTTGGATGAGAAGACTGATATTCAGAGGGCCACATGGCTACTAAGATAAGAACTAAAGTCCAATTTCTACTGACTCTATGCCCAGCAGTAATTTCCACAAAACAGGTGAACTAAAAGAATTGGAAGATATTACTTAATCCAAGTTAGTGAGGGTGTGGGCAGAGGCTTCTTAATTGGCAGAGCCAAGTATCTATGAGGTTAGTTAGTGCTATCCAGGTGTTCTAGGTTCCTCCAGCAAACACAAGAAAGGAAATGGCACAGCCAGGCCAACAGTTCTGCAGCAAAGGCTGACCGGCAGATAGGGAGACCCTAAGACTATATCAGCCACTTCAGCTTAAGTGAAGACTAGCAGAATGCCATCTGCTTCCTCGCCAAGCAAAAAATTAATTTCCATGAATTTTAAATGAGGCAATAGATGATTAAATCTTACATTACCAGGCCCTATATCCAAGGAAAACAAAACTTTGAGACCAAATAATCTTATAGTCTAAATAAGCCTGGCAATAGTCAAAGGAAGGCTGGACTTGAAGTCAAAGCTCTGGATTTCAATCCCTATTCTGACTCTAATTCAGGCATGGTGGTATGGTGGAAAAAGTACTGAAGTGTTGGATTTGAAGCAAGAGACCCTAGGATCAAATCTAGGCCTTGCCAGAATTATTACCTACATGACCTTGAATCAGCTTCTTCTCTGAATCTCAGTTTCCTCATTTGGAAGGCCACTTGGATATATGTTTCCATTAGTGAGTCCACCATCTCACTGATATATTTCATTTACTATCACGCCTGATTTTAGTGAATATGCTCTCACATTGGATACATGCTATTTTATTTAAAATGGCTATTTCTACAGTGTTTCTAGGTCTCCTTCCTTTAGTCCAACCCAACTTATACCATCTGAAAATCTCAAGCTTCTATAGGATGTTACCACCAATGTGTTATCTTGCCCTGGGCACAGAAGTTAAGGGAGTCATCTCAAGGTGTTCTGTTCTTAAGGTGACAGGAACACAGGGACTGCAACCTCACTGACCACGGTGTCTACACTGCTCACTTTATAGATGAGGAATCTGAGATTCAAAGAGATTAGATTATACGGTGACACAAACATTAAGAAGGAAAGCCAGCATTTGTGATCAAATATGTTGGTTCCAAATCTAGTGCCTGCTTCTATGACTGACATTAAAAAAAGAAAACATCTTATTCTCTTCCACATGACAATTATCATTCCTGTTTACTCCATAGATCTCCTTGTCTCTAGATATTGCCAATTCCTTTATTATCATGCTCAATCTCCTCTGGATGTTCTCTGGGTTATCTATCATCTCCCTAAAATACAGCACCCAGGTATGAATCCAGTATTTCAGATACAATTTAATCAGGACAGAGCACAGCAGAACCATCATCTCCCTAGTCCAGCATACCATGCCTTTCTTCATGTAGCTTAAAAGTGTATTAGCTTCATTGCCTGCTATATCACACTGTTGACTCACACTGAGTTTAAAGTCCACTAAAACATTCAGATTTTTCAAAAATTACTATTTAGTCACACAGAACTATCCTGCACTTACATTATTCTCTAATAATATTTATCCGAATTCTTGGTGACCTTGGGCGAGTCATTTCCCTTTTCTTGACCTTAGTTTCCTCTTTTTCAAAATGGTATCAATAATACTTGTACTACTGACTTCAAAGTAGAAAAAGTAGGAGAGAGCTTTGTAAATGACCTTTAAAGATCTAGCAATGTGGAGCTGTTATGGTTTCAGGATGGCAGAAATTCAAACGGGTATAAATTCACTCAATTTATTTGCCCCAAAATATTTACTAAGTGCCTCATATGGACCATGTGCTATCCTGGGCACTTAGAGAACACAAAGATAAATCAGACAAGGTCCGTGTCCTCTCCTAAAATCTGAGCAAAGGTAAGAGGATGTAGGTACAAATAAATATAATTATATTCAAATTTGTGCAAATGCATAGGTGAAGTTGTTGTCTGACTCTTCGTGACACTATTTGGGGTTTTCTTGGCAAAGATACTGGAGCGGTTTTGCCATTTCCCTCTCTAGCTCATTTTACCGATTAGGAAACTGAGGCAAACAGAGTTAAGAGACCTGCCAAGGATCACATAGCTAAGTGAGGGTCTGAGGCTAGATTAGAACTCTGAAAGATGAGGCTTCCCAACACCAGGCCCGGCACCCTATCCACTGTACCACTTAGCTGCTCTGAATTGTTTTTGTTGTTATTGTTCAGCTGTGTCCACTCTGTGACCCCACTTGGGGTTTCTTGGTAAAGATACTGGAGTGGTTTGCCATTTCCTTCTCCAGCTCATTCTACAGATGAGAAAACTGAGGCAAACAAGGTTAAGTGACTTTCCCAGCATCACACAGCTAGTAAGTGCCTAAGGCCAGATTTGAAATCAGGAAGAAGAGCCTTCCTGATGCCAGGTTGGGAACTCTATCCAGTGATCCACCTAGCTGCCATAAGTAAGGTATAAAGTGCTAAAAGATCAGATGAGGTAAACATTACTACTGAGAAAAAGTAGAAAAGGCTTTACTGAGAAAAGAATATTTAAACAGGACTTCAAAGGCCTGGTAGAAAACAGATGTCAGATTTTAAAAAGTAATGAATAAGACATTAAAGCAGCATTAAAATAGGAAAGGATAGGATCAAAGACAAAAATAGGGAGTTTTAGACATTAACAATAATATGTAGAACAACAAAATTCATTTTATATAGTATTTTGCAGCTTGCTAACTACTTTATTTTTATAATATTATCATGTAAGTTATGATAACCTAATTTACAGGGCTGGAAACTGAGGCTTAGAGAGATGAAGTACATCCCTGACAAGTGATCATTTAGCCTTTGTCTGAAGACTTCAAGTGAGGGTGAATTTGCAATATTCCAATGAAGTTTCTTCCATTCTGGGGGCAGCTTACTGTTAGAAAACTTTTTCTAACATCAAGCCTAACTCTAACTCTGTAGTTTCTACTCCCTAATGCAAATTCTTAGTTGTCTGCCTATAAAGTTACCTACTCCTGGCACAATCAGATGGAGCTACTTATTTGGGAAGAAATTAAAGCATTACATTAAAACTGTAGACTTGATTTATTTCAAACATCTCATTATACTACTTAATCAATTATACAGCAAGTCAAATCATGCCCCGAGTATACTACTTCTACTAAAACAAGGAAGTTTTTCTAACAAATATACTATTATCTTCCCCACATGATTAACATCATGTAAATATATTCAACCATATTTTAGCTAATAAACATCACTCACCAGTTGGCATATATTCCCACCAGCGGCCTGCACAGAGATCTACAATCTTCACTACTCTCAAATACAGGGTCACTGCCTCCTTCAGCTTCCGGGAGAGGCATTCCATACACATGATATCCTGCAGAGGGAGGTACCTTTGTGAGAGAAAGAAACTCACATTTATCAAATGAATAAGTATTTCCCATTCATTAATGGGTTACATTTTTATCCCTTTCTCCCTTTTTTAATTAAACAAATCAAAAAAACACAGTACCTGTACCAAACACAGATGCCTCATGCTTATTATCACACTACAGATATGGATTCATAAGCCTAACACGTGGACTTATTTTCTTCTAGGAACTATGTACACAACTTAAAAGGCTGCTACCAAGTGACTAATGATACCTAAATTATAACTCCGCAGTTAATAAGGTCAGCTCTCTCATAAATGTAGCCTTAGATTGTAGCACATACTTTATATGTTCCCTACCAAAACACGACTTTATTAAAATAACAATAAACTAATCTTTGGTTACATAAGAATTTAGATTGAGATTTAAGTTAAAACTTTAGAAACAAATTTAAAACTTCTAATCAGAAACAATCTAATCTTTTTCTTGACTGTATTCTCAGTTACTGTTTCTCTCTAAATCTCATTCCTTAACGATACATGGGGCTTTCACACTTTAAATTTTAAGTATCTTTACACAGAATTTTTGTGATGGTGGCAGTGGCAGTTTTACAAAAGAGCATTTTAATGACAAAAATTGAAACTTAATTTTAAATTCAATTCAACAAATACTTATTAAGCATCTATATAACCATGATACTGTGCTAGTTGCTGGGGATACTAAGATAGATATGACACAGGCCCCACTCTCAAAAAGTCACAATAATTAGTGGGAAAGACATATACAAAAACTTATAAAGCCTATAAAGCAAGGTCTGTAAAATAACTAAAAATAAAAGGTCCAAGTAAAGTGCTTTGAGATGTGTAAAAGAGAGATAACTTTTCGCCAGTTAAGCATGCTTATGTCAAGGAAAATTCCATGAAGGAAGGGGCTTGGAAGGGGGCTTTTAGTTGGATTTTGGTGGGGAAAAAAAAAAGGGCGGGGATTTTAACAGTTGGAAACAGAATGAAAAATGGGTGGACGGGTGAGGGGGGAAAGAGAACACTTTGGGATGATGAAAGCAAGAGAAAAGGTTTAGAGACAGGACAGATTATAGGACTAAAGCAAAGGAGCTTAATTTTTTTAAAGAAAATCTGGGAGATTACGAATTTATTTTGGTCCACCATGTATCTAGAAATAATATTCAATTCCCTGGTACTGCATATTAGTCCAATGCCACAAAAAGTAAAATAGCTCTGCATTTACAACCAAACTCCCTAAGAAAAAGCAATCTTTTTTTTTTCCTCAAAGACACAATGTGAAGCAATAGGAATCAAGTTCATCAGCTTAAAAGGAAGATCAAACACATTAAATGCAAATAGCACAAGTGATCCAATACAGATGTGGTTTCTTCAAGACAAATCAAGGGTTTTGATACAATTTGATGAAAGGAGGCCAACTCCTGTACAGTAAAAATGGAAGACCTGAATGCCAAACTTTGAGAACATAAAAATAAAATTGGACTTAAGCAGTTAAGCATGTTAAGGTGCAATATGCTGTCTAGTTCATGGGTCTTCTTTACTTCTACCAATGTATCTCTCCTTCTATAATAAGAAGGGAGCTTCTGTCTATTATCACTTTTCAGTGAATTAGAATCATATTTTAGAGATTATTTAATACAACCCCTCATTCAGAGACAGAGAGTGGAAGTACAAAACAACATGGATGTGTGAGGGCACCAAGATGGAACTGGAAGCAAACAAGCCCTGTGTTAAAATGTAGGTTTGTGACTTACGGAATGGTCTTAGTTGTGTCATGTTGCTTCTCTGTCCTCAGTCCTTTCCTCTGATAACTGAACAGACCAGACTAAATGATCTCAAGGTCCACATCAACTCTTAAATCCTATAAGTCTCACTCAAGATCAGGCAGTAACTCACTTATGCAGTGAAGTGCTGGGAATCATAGAATCCTAGAATAAATGGGACCTCAGAGATCACTCTCTCTTCTACAATCTCAATGTTCACCAAAGCTCTTCTGAAGACTTCCAGTGACAGGGAAACCACTACTTCCTGAGGAAGCCCCTTCTACTTTTAGGCATCTCTAATTGCAAGGAACATTTATCTCACATTCAGCTAAAAACTACTTCTCTACAACTGCCCTCTGAGGTCAAAGAGAACAATTCTTATCCCTCTAACAATAATTTTTCAAATACTGGAAGAGCAAAATGTTCATCCTATCATGTCTTCTCCAGTTTAAATCACTAGTTCTTTCAAACTAATCTGTGTATGGTGTTTCCACACTATTGTGACTGCCCTCCTCTGGACACTCTCTAATTTATCCCTGGTTCCTAAAATGTGGTATGCAGAAATAAACACAATATGAACACAAACTGAAAATGCTCTTTCTAAAGTTACCAATGATCAATTAATTGTCAAATGACCAAGCCACATCTTCTTCTTGACCTCTCTACAGAATGCTGATCTCCTCTTTCCCGGAAACTCTCTCCTCTCTAAGTTATACTGACACTACTCTCTGCTGGTTCTCCATACATGTCACATCAACTAACTCTGGTTATTCACTAAGGCTCTGTTATGGGCCCTCTTCTTTTTTCACTCTATACTATTTCACTTGGTGTTTTCATCAGCTTTCATGGATTAAATTATCAGCCCTATGGAGATGACCCCCAGATCTACATATCCAGCCCTAGTCTCTCTTCTGAGTTACAGTACTGTACCACTGATTGCATTTTGGACATCTCAAACTAGATGTCCTATAAACATCTCAAGTTTAATATGTTCAGGCCTCTCTCCCATCTTCTGAACTCCCCTATTAAGTGCACTACCATCTTCCCAGTGACCCAGGCCTGCAGCCTCAGTGTCATCCTTGACTCCTCAGTCATAATCACCCCTGAATTCTCAAATGCATGCCCTTCTCTCCACTCACAGAGCCACAACCCTAGTACAAGTCCTCAACATCCTCATCTACACTTTGGTTTCCCGGACTCAAGTATCTCAACTCCAATCCAGCCTTCACTCAGCTGCCAAATGATTTTCTTAATCATTTCAAACCTTCCTTCCTCCCTTCCCCCCACCCCTCAATAAACTCCAGTGGTTCCCTATCTCCTCTAGGGTAATAAAATCCTCTGTTTGGCATTTAAAGCTCTTCATAACATGGCTCCATCCTAGCTTTCCAGTCTTCTTACACTTTATTCCTCTCCATCCTCTCTATGATCCAGCTACACTGGTTTACTTTCCAACACTCCTTGCATATGACATTCCATCTCTCATCCCTGTGCCTCTGCACCAGGTGTCCCCATTTGTGGAATGCTTCTGTCCTCCTCAATTCTGCCTCTAAGCTACGCTGATTTTCTTCAAGGCTCAGAATAAAACTCACCATATGCAGGAAGCCTTTCTCAGTCTTTCCCATTGTGACTGCCTTCCCCTCTGGGTTAACCTTCCACCTGTTCTGTATTTAACTTGAGATTTAGTTAGTTATTCACATGTTGTTGCCCCCATTTGAATATGAGCTCCTAGAGGGCAGGGAATGTTTCTGCTTTTATTTTATCTCCAGCACTTAGCACAGTTCAAGACACAGTGTGCTGTTGTTTGTAAAGGCTTGTTGACTGACTGACCTCAAGGTGTGTTCTGATCAGACAGAAAACAAGTCCTATAATCTCCGCTGTATCTATTAACGGCAATCAGTGATTCTAGCTCTTAGGCTATATGTCATACTGGTGACTCACACTGAACTTACAGTCCCCTAAACCTTCAGAACTTTTACATGTATGTTGCCTAGCCACACCTTCCCTACTTTGCACTTGTACAGCTGATTTTTTGATAATCCAAGTGCAGGAACATTGAAACTTAGTAAATTTCATCTTATTGGAGTCAAGCCACCCAAGATTTGTTTCATCTGTAAATTTGATAAGCATGCTATCTATGCTCCAATAGCCAATCAGTATTTAGTCCAATTTTACCGAAAGATTCTTCTAACCTAAATGGACACTGTCCCATATATCCAAAGTCCAAAATACTCTCTATATTGTCATTCAACTGCAATGCTACCACTCACATCTTTTAATCCATTGTAAATCAACACTGCAAATCTTATATTGTAATACCAACCACAGTCTTACTCACTCCTAACTTCTTCCCATGCTGTAAATGCATCATTACAGCACGGAAGACTAGAAAAAGTACTAAACTTGGAGTCAACAGAGAATCTCAGGGCTGGAAGGGACCTTAGGAGCATCTGGTCCCACTTGTATCTGAAAAAGAATCTCTACCACATTCCAACAAGTGGTCATTTAGCCTTTGTTTTAAAACCGCCAATGAGGAGAAATCCACCACCCCTAGAAGCAGCCAATGCTACTTCTAGATGGCTCTCACTCTTAGCTTCACCTTGCATTAAGCCTAAATTGGCCTTTTTGCAATTTCTACCCAGAGTTCCTAGTTCTGCTTCTGAGGCCAAAGAGGCTAAGTATAATCTCTTCTCCACAAAACAAGCCTTCAAATTCTTGAAAATATCTATCAAGTCCTCCATCTCATTTAAGTGCTCCTCTCCTCCAAACCACATATTCCTATTTCTTTCAACCAAGTCTCATGGCACTATCTCAAGAAGCTTCTTCATTCTGGCTGTCCTCCTATGGACATTTAACACTATCTTTCCTATAAGGTGATACCCAGAACTGAACATAACATTACAAATGAAGTAGGATGAAGGGAGGGAAGGAAGGGAAAGGGAACAAGCATCTATTAAGCAGCTACTATGTGCCAGGCACTGTGCTAAGTAGGTAAGAAACTTTTTCTCATTTGATGAAGGCAGAATAGAATGGTCTTCCCTAGTCCAAGATACTATTCCTCTCCAAGTGCAGTGTAAGATTACACAAATACTAAGTACAAAGTAATTGGGGATGGGGAGATTCCCACATCTTTATTAGGTGACCTGCTCTTATAATTGTGAAGCTGACATTTGGAACCTAAACATAAAATTTTACACTGATTACCATTAGATCCCATGTTATTCTAAACCCAAGATTTTAG